AAAAAAGTAAGAAATCGCATGGAAATGTTCCGAATAAAATCCCGTATCAAGCGCTGTTGCACGAGCAGTGGGCGATCAAAGGGTGTGATCGGACGAGATCACCTGGCGAATGATGTGGTGGGCGATATGGTCACCGCAACTATGGACCACAGATAATTCCGTGTCCGCTAATGTCCCTGCCTTTGTCCTTTGGCAGGTCTTCTGATACTCTGATCGAGTAGGGTGGGATGAAAGTAGGTAGGGCCGATGAAAGGACGACAGTATCTCCGCCCTCCTCGCTCGCTTTTACGCAGCGAAAATGGTGCAGTCGCTACCTCTGTGGAATTCTACCTGCTTTCGAAGGGAGAGGAAAATTCCAAATGATCACGAGCGCTGCCTTTAAAGTGGCTCGTCACTTTCCGGACAACCTAGTTGATGACTACTCCATACAATAAGTGGTCTACACGTCTCCACCACTTCAAATTTTGATGAAAATGCAGCCAAAACGCAGAAAAAAAACTGAGTCCTCAATCATTCATAATATGCTCCATCAATAGTGGAACCCTTTCCTCTTCCTGAATTTCTCGCCAGCTTTGGGAGCTTACAGTATCACCACATTGCTGCAAATACAGTATGCAATACTACAAACAGTATTAGCGACATAATTTCGGCTTGGGGACGTGGGAATCGAGAGTTTCTGATGGTATGCATTTCTCTATGGCGGAGGTGCCGTAGTGACTAGTGGCACGCTTACCACTCGGTGGTCCTGGCTTTGGATCCCGGGTCGGCTCCTGCCCAGGCCAGCCAAGCCTTCTACACCCCGGAGACGGTGAACTGAAGAAAACTGACTTCAACATCGGGTGACCCCTCATCGTATAGGCCACATCGCATTCAATAGCCACTACGATTCTGCTTGAAAGTATAGTGCGTGTCGCATCACACAAAGGGATCGATTGACGGCGCATACTTTACCATTTATGCATTTTTTAGTTCATTCAGACACTACACGTGATTCGTTGTGCAATGCAAACTTGTAGTAGAACTTTAGATTTCCCTTTAAAAGCTCGCAAAATTCATCAACTCACACAGCGAACTACCAAGAACTGG